GAGCGCGTCCCGACCAAAGTCACAATCTCAACGTGAAAGGCGGTCAACTGATCATCTAGAAGCTCCATAATTCCCTCCTTGACTAAGCTAAATATCATCGGAGTCTGTGCAAGGATACTACACGTAATCATAGATGAGATAAACTCCCTCGTCTGGTCATCAAGTTTCCCGACTCCAGATCCTGAGCCCGAACCCTCTGGAGCACCGGCACTGCCCACTGGCCTGCCTCGCAATACCACCATACTTAAAATAGACTCTATAAACCATCAAAATGCCCATCAAATATACACATCACGGAAATCACAACTCTACAAGCTCCCTGGCTTCATTGAAGCCCTCCTTGAATCGTGTACGAATCCTCTTCTTCCATTAGTACGGGCCCATGCTACCTTCCACATTTATCCATACTTTCCTCAAGAAGTGCCTTAACTCAGCCAAGTTACTTTATATCCAACAATTTCCTCACATATAAGGCTCCCAACACTAAATCTCATCCTAGGTTTTCCTAGGGCAAACTCCACACCACTCTTCACCATCAGCTGCAGAGGGAACTCCCACTAACTTCCTCTAACTTGCTCACGAATACAATTATATTACAAAAAGTAGATAATTCTTCGAATGAGAGGTATCACATTACGATGGTTGGACTCAAACAAGAGTTGCACAATAGGGTTAAAACCTAATCCTCTAAAATTATTTAGTTCCCATAATATGTAACTTAGCATATTCGTTTACTAGTTAGCCGAAGCTAGTTAAAACTCCTAAAAGCACAAAGCAAGCAGCATTCGGGCACCAAGCATCATCTAATCAGGCCATCATATTACTGACTGATCAGTACTAGCATGCAAATCTATAAGCTTATACAACAGGCATTCAAAGGCATCTCTCCCTGATCCTTAGCTCTAAAGAAGCATGATATCACAATTCACAGTTCAAACATATCATAAACATGTATGGGTATTTTGGGATAACTTACTTGAGCTCGATTGATTGCACGCACCACACCCTTTCTTATTTTAGAAAACCTTTTCTTAAATATGTTTATCTTTAGAAAACTTACCAAATCCGCGGCTTGAGTTCAGATACCCCCGAGAGTGTGCCCGAATCCCTCAAACCAAGGCTCTGATACCAAATTGTAACATCCAAAAATATGGTTGCAAAAATTTTGTTTTTATAATAGAAAGAATAGTATTTTCAAATATCATCCATACATCTCAACAAAATCAATGTATCATATGCTATCAAAATTATAGTAAATATCAAATGCGGAATCCCCATGGTGTATGCAGTGCAGTCAACTCGAGCCCTTCCCCTTGGAACCGGAAGTACTTGAAACACAAACTAAAATCTGTAAGCACAAAGTTTAGTGAGTTCCCCAAGATACCGCATACCAAACATTTCAAACAACGGGCCCCGCCCACACTCGCATAACGGGCCTCGACCAATGAGATACGGGCCCCGCCTACACTCGTAATACGGTCCCCGCCCAAATAAACAAACATGTACGAATATATACAAGTATCACACAAACAACAAGTATAATATAATAATCATCAGGGGTCGGCCTTGGTTCCTTGGAACCGCTAAACCCGGTGAGGAAGACTCACCTCGAAAAGCTGAATGAAACGAATGATCCCTGACTGCTGGTCCTACAGCTCCCCGAGCTATCAATTACCAAATAAAAGCTGATTAACATTTGGGATCTACATCATAACCAAAAATCCCTACTTGGGGTAAAAAGACTATTTTACCCAGATCATAACGTGGTCCAAGAAAGAAACCCTAAATCACAATTCAATGGTCCAAAAGTTAGATAATCTAACAAGGCCCAACACATGGCCCAATTTCTAATTAGGCCTAATCCCTTCACATGGGCCTTAGCGTAAAGACCAAAAATGCTTCCCTAGCCCAATGGTTCGATTCTAGATGGCCCACTAAGGCCCAAGACACAAAATCCAAGAAAGTAGCCCATCCGAGGCCCAAAAGACGGAAAGCCCAAATCCATTGTGTACGTTGGGCGTACTCAACTGTACGCTAAGTGTACAGGCAACATGGCTTGTACGTTGTGTGTATTGGCTTGTACGCTCAGTATACTCACCTATTAAGCCATAAACCCAAAGAGCACTTAAATCCTTAAGACCTAGGGGTCCAATCACATATCTAAGTCATATGAGGTGTCTTAAACTATAAAGTCGTAAACTTGGTGGCTTGCATGCCCCAAATGAACAAAATCTCGAAATATCAAACATTACTTCTATAAAATGAACCCAAACTCATACATGGATGGTTCAAAGCCTCAAAGATTGCAACTTTATGACTCAAGGACCAAATGAACACCAAGAGTAGCAACTCTAAGCTCCAGAAATGACAATAATTCACAAGACCTCATCTATGGGACCAAAAAGACCCAAAAACCCAAACAAAGAAGATCTTAGCATTAACAAAGCAAGTTTTGAGCTTTATACCTCAAATAAGTGCCAAATGATGAAGATAACCCGAATCTTCAAGCTCAACTCCATCAAATCTCCTTCACCAACTTCTTCTTCTTCTTCCCAAGGCACCAAACTACCAAAAATGCACTCCACAAGGTCAAGAATACACCAAGATGATAAAGGGATTGATTTTAGGGTTTTTGGACAAGAGAGCCTGATAAGGAGGCTAACCCATGGGACTTAATGACATTATATAGGGCTGGAACCCTAAAAATTAGGGTTTTTTGTCCTGACCACGTACGTTGCGCGTACCTCTTCGTACACTAAGTGTACATGAAATGCCTCTACGTTCTTTAATGGACCACTACGCCCCGCGTACACCAGGCTTACGCCTAGGGTATGACCTCAGTAAGCCAACTCAAATAAGGCCCAATACCACTAAGCCCACACAACATTCATAATTAAACAATTAGATAAATGATTAAATAATTAAATAATACATTGGAATCATCAGGCGTTACAACGCCATGGCATTCCAATTCTATGTCGTGGTCTGGCCAAATAATAAAATAAAAGGATAAAACTCATAACTAAATACCTTGAAACATGATGCTACAAATAAGAGGGTATTTCTTTATTGTTGTTAGGTGTCCTGTTGTTCCTATCTACCATGTGTGTGAGAGTTATGGTATTTTTAGCTAGTATTCACGAGGTAAGTCTTCTCACTGTATTTATATGTCTGATAGATATGTGTGTTTACCAGCTAGGTCTTAATTTATGTTGTTGTTATATGTGAACTAGATAAAATTATTAATAAATTCGGGATTGCTGAAAGTCCCCAGTGTTGCTTATAACCCCTGAAATGTGCTATTAATCCACTAGGCTTGCTGTTAGCTCGCTGAGATTGCGTATAATCCCCATGGTTGCTGATAACCCATAATTGTTTGTTATGCTATGTTGTATGAATATTTTGGGAAGGACTCGCTAAGCTTTGTGCTTATAGTTGTGGATTAATGTGTTCAGTTACTTCGGATGATCGCGGAAAGACGAAGGCTTGACTATACACTCCGGCTAGTAGATTTTATGATTTCACATTTTTGTACTCTGATCGGGATGATTGTATTTGATGTACCTGAGATTTTATTGACTTGGTCTTTATGATATTTGGGATTTTTCTATAATTAAAAATGAAAATTTTTATGGTAAAATTAGGATGTTAGAAATTTTTTATTATTTACGGAATAGGAAGAGGGTTTTAATACAACTTTGTATGTGTTCATTAGGTTGATGTCAATTTAGAACCTCAAAACACTACATCTAATATGAAGTCCTTGTAAAGTGGTGGATTTTAACTTTATTATTATATTTTTTTATTAATTTAGATGTTAAAATCTTAAAATTGGTCTTTACATAACCACATGATTTATGTTGTAGGGTCGTGGAAGGCTAAAGAAAATGTAGAGAAATAAATCAGCAAGGTATGTCACTCAGATGAATTTATAAGGATTTAATGGTATTTGACAATATATAAATATGTCTCCAACATACAACTCTTAATCACAATCACAATTTGGGGCGCAAATGAGCCGAGTCAAGCGCAAGCTTAGCTAGGCTCGGATCGAGCTCGTTTAAGCTATGAGGAGCTCGAACTCGAGCTCAGGTCGATATGAGCTTTATTATACCAAGTTCAGCTCAAGCTCATGAAGAATTATACAGGCTCGGCTCGTGCTCGAGATCAATATGTTATTTGTTTGATGAGCCTAAATAAGCTTAAGCTCGGTTCAAGCTCGTTAAGAAGCTCGCTAACTAATACCTTACATCATGAATTCCTCAAATATTTTTTTATTTTAATATATAAAAATAATATTAATGTATATTATATATAGACTGGTTTAGGCTTGCGAGCCCATTGATTGAAGCTTGGCTGAAGCTCGTTTAATAAATGAGCTTCATATTTAGGCTCAAGCTCGGCTCGGGCTCATTTAATTCAATCTCAAGTCGAGCTTTTAATGAGTCGATCCCGAGTAGCTCATGAGTAGCTCGACTCACTTACACCTTTAATCACAATCACAATAAAAATCACAATCACAGGTGTGGAGTCCGTATTTATAGATGCAACTTTTGATGCCTTTCTTAAAAATAGATTGCGATTATATTTTTAGTATTATGCATATAATGTCAATATCCATATAAAATTTCTGGAATTACACTGCTAGAAACTTGACCATTAGCAACGGAATCAGCTAGAAATTCTATCCGTAGCTAATCAATGATGGCTTACCAAGGGATCAACGATGGAATGCATGAATATTTCGACTAACATACTTATATAATTCTAGAGAGGTATTAACAAGGGATCATCGACTCATTGCTAAGAATTTATCGACAAAAATTTTTCAATGTTAATCTGTCTCAAATTAAAACCTCTTAGCGAGGGAACAATCACAGGATTGCTAAAAATCACAGGCCTGGCCCTTGAAAATCGCTCACAAAAAATTGACACCTCATTTTTTCATTCCCCGCTTTTCTTCTTTTCTCGTTCCCTCGTTTTATTTTCATTCCCGCCGATTTCTTTCCCATTGCCCTAATTGACCCTATGTCGACTCAAATCCCTCTCCCATCCTCTTTGGTATTCTTACCGATTCGTCTCCATTCCCCACTGACTCATCGTTTCCCTGCCAGTGCCGCTCAATCGTATATTGTCTCTTCAGATCTCCTAGTATAACTGCTCAACAATATCCACATCTATCATAAACTCGAGAAAATTAATCTGAAGTAGTCTTCATCGACTTCCAATTCTGGTTTCAAGTAGTGTGTAAGCACCATTTCCATGTAGCTCTCTTACTTCTCTTTCATTTCTAGCTGAAATCACCACTTGTTTTTATAAGCTCTACTTTCCTTAACTCCTTAATTTTGGTTTTCCTAGGGTGTTCTCGTTGTTTATATACATATTTTGTTTTTCCTATTACAATTTAAAACCTTTTGTTTCTGGATGAATTTGTATGAGTTTTTTTTTAATGTTTAGTCAATGAGAATTTTTTATATTCATTATCATCTTAACTCTAATTTCTACTTTCTGATAACCGTAATATTTTGGATTATGTAAATTAGCATATGGATACTTTTCTAGATTTGAAGCAATATGAATTTGGTACCGTGTGTAGGTATTTGACAAGGGGCTCAAATTCAAAATGACAACAATCATGAGTTCCAGAAATTATGTACCTATTGTGGGTATGTATTTTTGTTTCAATACTCTTCTTTTCTCTATTCTTATCTTCTTCGCAAGATATAGCAATTGAGTTAGAGATTTGTTCATGTTCTATGATATCTCAAGAGTTAACATCCTAAATATAGTCCATAGAGAGAAATTAGCATTCGAGTATCTGAGTATATGAATAATATCTAATAGGACGAGTAGGAATTTGGTTCCGTGTTTAAGGATCTAATTATAAGTGCAGTTGTAGATTTAAGTATTCATGTAGTGGACAGTGGAAGGAAATGTATTTGAGGAACGGTATCAAAATGTTTATGTATTTTAATCAATCGTTGTTATATAAAGTTATATATTGGTGTTCCAAAGCTTCATAATATATCCCTCTTTGGTAATTTCTTATGGATTTCATCTTAGCTTGCCTCAACTAGTTTTCTAAAAAGATGCCTTGTCATGCCTAATTCTGGTCTACTTGGTTTTCACACTTTATGTTACTTCAAAATGCAATGCCCATATGAAGGTACATATTCCTTTCTCCTAGTGAAATTAAATTTAATTTCTTTTAATCATGCATTGTAACGAATTGTTATATCCAAGCATACATAGTTAAGAGCAAGAAATCCAAAAGATGCAGGATGGATAAATTCTTTCTTAGGATTATCTCATGAAAAGGTACAAATTGCTTAGCATTCAAAACACACAACCAAATTTCTATTGCTAATGACTCATCTGCTCTAATCAATGTAGGTGAAACAGAATCCATGAAACCTTTTGGTTGTCATAGGTATGAAAAACATTCGTCTTTTAGGTGCATTAAAAAACTATCCTTAGCATAACCACTTGCGATGTGCAGGTCAAATTATTCTGGTAGAATGTTTAATAAGAATGATGTTGATTCCATCCTCTCTTTAGCCTTAATCGTTGATCCTAGAACTGCTGACATATATGAACCACCATACTGGACAATCTTTGGTTGTCACAATAAACATTAAGATAATGAAACGTGTCTTCCATATGGCCAAATTTAATGCTTAAAAGTATGTTTCTTGCTTCAGGTATCAGGCTATGTAAACAACCAAGATATCAAGAAGATAATCATAAAGTTTGTAACTTGATATCGTGTTCATTTTCTAATATTACCCCTCCATGTTAAAAGGTATTTTTTTCTGTATTCTAAAGAGGTAGTTATCCTGTTTTAGCAGTTTTTAGTGTGATGGAAAGAACCCTATAGGTCATATCCATACACTTTTGTCAAGTTCCTTTCGTTTGGAGATAACAATAGGGATCTTTTATTTTTTTAAGTTATTCTTTATCCTTTTGTATTTCATAACATATGTCCCCCTCAAAAAGGATTAAGAACTTGTGTTAAGTGTAAGTCATGATGAATTATTACAATTACAGACACATTAGTGGTAGATATAAATTTAAAGAATATTATTGTAATTCTTCCCACAATCTTGTCCTTCTTTTTACAGGTGGAGGGTATGGAATTGACTATACTGACCCTGAAGAGGTCATCAGAAAAAAGAAAACCAAAATACAAATTTCAATTTTTTTTAAATGACTATACTGACCTTGAAGAGGCTAACTCAATCATTTGCAGCTGGAGTTGTTGGTTGCAACACTGATGGATCTTGATGCAATGGATGGTAAATGGAGTGTGTCATTATTGACAAAGTGTTCAACTTCTCCTTATGTCAAAAGAAGGTACATCTTTTCATATAAAAAGACTAAAACGTGCTTCTTCAACGAGGAGGGTATTTAGGTCATTTGTACAATCTGTTGAATCATGTCTTGACAAATAGGGACATTATTGCAGAAAAGCATTGGCTAATGCTTTGTTAGTTGCACCATCGATGTGTACCCTTGGTAATGCAGGCATGAGAGCCTTACAGGTAACTGATTTTATTTTTATGAGGAAAGGGTATTTTGGACATTTAAGTGATGGGGGATAGAAAATTGTGCTTTTTATAAAATATTAGAGTTTAGGATATTGATAGCTTTGATGTCGGGTACTTTTTAAGCTTTTTAAAATAATATTTCATGATATAAACTTTAAATAATATGTGCATATTTTTTTTCATATTTGTCAGCATTTGATTTCCAGAGCTCTTAGGTGGTACCAACAACTGTATTTATAAGGTTGGTTGCATGCGATAAAAAAATGGGCCAATGGCATCGGAGACCATAAAGGTTAGTTTTGTAATTTTCTTGCTAATTATACATTATGCATCCATTTTTATAAATGCTTAATAAGCTATTAGTTTTTTCATATATTTTTTGGTCGGAATCGGAATTCAATTCCATTCTAGTCCTGCATTTAGTTTAGTTTCAAATGAGTAGACAATAATGTTCTTCATCAACAAAAAAGCATGTTTCCAACAAACACCATCTCCTTCCATTGCAGGAAAAAGTAAGTAGAACTTGGTTCTTCTAATTCCATGGGATTTAACGGGAATCAGAATCCAATTCCATTATGATCTTTCTTTCGGATGCAAGATATGAAGCAATGTGGAAATGCAAAATATGAGACGAAATTGAGATTATCGTACATTATACTTATAAATAAATATCAATCAATATTAAACTTTGATATTTGATGATTTTGATCGTTTTGGTAAACATTGATATTTGATGTTTTTGGATGTTTTGTTAACCTTTGATAGTTGATTTTGGTATTTTAATATTAGTGTTTGGTTTTGGATTGTATAATTATTTGATTCCTTTGATATTAATTTGTTATTGTTTAGTTTGGGATTGTATAATTATTTGATATTTTTAGTATTTTTTTTGTTTTAGATTTGTAATAAACAAATTAAATATTATATGTGTGGGAGAAATCAGCGACGGAAACAAAAAAAATCACATATAAAATTTGTTAGGGATCAACAACGGAATATAAAAAGACACATATAGAGGTTTGCAAGGGATTAGCGATAGAATATTCTAGTTGCTGATGTCCTAAATAACGGTATTGAAGGACCAATTTGTGATGGATATTCCGTTGCTAAAGTCATCGCAAGGAAAAACAAGTCTGTCGCTAAATCCCTCGCTAAGTCATTAGCCACGTTTTATTTGGCTATGGAGTAAGTCTGTCAAAGATTCGTCGCAAAGACCTTTAGTGATGGAATAGCGACGGATTCATTCGTCACAAAAACCAATGTTTCTAGTAGTGTTAACGCATGTCCAATATTGAAGCTTTATTACTTTAATTTATGAAAAATATTTTTATAATGCCAAAATTCGTTGGTAATCTACCACAGACAATCTGTCGGTAATCCGTTAGCGATTTATTCCATCGGTAATCTGTTGCAAACAAATTCCGTCGGCATCAATTGCAAAAAATATTTCCGCCGATAATCGCTTACTAATTACCAATGGAAAAATTTGTCTCTAAAATCTGCTGTAACCATCGGAAATCAGTCACAACAATTACCAATAAAAATATACCGATGCATTGGTATGTTGCAATTCTGTCGGTAGACGGATTGCCGACGGTTTTGGCTGTCGGTAATGCCCTCTTTTGTAGTAGTGTGTGCAACAAATAAATGAAATCGGGACTGTGAATTAAATAAATGAAACTTATGCACAAAATTTGCTTTTATTGAGAAACCGTAAGGACCATTGACGTAATTTAGTCTAAAGATACTTAGATTAAGAGTAACATTATAAGATCGAGCTTGTTAGCCCAAATACAATACGTAGTGTGGCTTCAAGTACTGAACGTCAGCAACGAGACCTTTGTTTTAGCGCAGCCATAAGCCTCACAATAAGCTTGTGATGTTAACAGGAACACTGTTGCAAGGCTAATGATGAACGCTAAAATCTTCAATGAAGCTCCAGCAAAAATGCTAATAGCTCTTAAAACCACCAGCAACCAATATGATACCTTCCTCATACGCACGTACAACATCCTCCGCCTACTTTTATAAACTCTGTTATCTTCTACTATCTTTTCTTGCAATTCCGATTTCTTTCTCCTTTTCACAGTTTGTGTAGAAGTCCTCATCCCAATGCAGAATTTAGGAACTTCATCCTCACACAGGTCACCATCGATAATTTTATGTCTTTTAAGAAGCTTGACATCATTTACATTCGTGATAAGCCCACACATGAAGCCCACGTATTCAGTAAGTGGGAAGTTATTGCAATTGGCCTTTTACATTTCGTACGCAACTAAATTTCTTAATATAACCTCTGAGTCGGTATGCAAAGTAATACATGGAAGGGAAATATCCTTCCCTTTACTATCTATTTTCCAAAAGCCTTCGTCTTTTGGTAAGAGGTGAAACTTGAATCCAGCTCCATGCAGTTTGGAAACTGAAGGGATGTCAGTTTTATCATGAGAGAAGGTTTCTAGTGATGTCACGGTTTTTTCATATAATGGAAAGACCTTTTCCCAAGGAATTTTTTGTACGAAGTTAACAATGGGATATTCAGTTTTTCCTAAAAAGTATCGATGAGTGGTTCTCCAGAAGAAGTAAACACACCTTTTCCTCTTTAGAAGGCGAGGCACCTGCTTCCCCCATGCGATAAACAAAGGTTGGTCTTTTGTGAAGCAACTGATTAACCTTTTCTCAGGGATATTGGTCACAATTGAACAATACATATAATGAAGCAGGTGGTCTACAAAAGTAGGAGCTTGTGATGGTGAGCACAACTCAAGTGGCGAATGTGTGTCCCTTATTGGATTATATAGGACCCCTCCTCTTCCCTCACACGTTGATGCTTTGAAGAAAAGAATCACTACTAGAAAAGGGGGTAAGTTGCTAAGAAAAAATACCTACAGAAATTTTCATAGGAAATACCTACGGAATAGGCACAATTTTTTTTTTTGGAAACGGCAAATGAATAATCGGAAGCCTACTCGCATATTTCA